CCAAGTCCCCATTCACATCAACTGCAATTGCACATTTATGAGAGATATTTAAGAGCTTATGTAAATCTTGTAAAGAAGCTGATCGCTAAGGTCTGCCTTTTTTTACAACTACTTTTTGCTGCTGTCTTTTTCTTGCCACCGTAAACACTCATTTTGTTCACAGGTCACGTTTTACAAATGAGCTATGTGCCTGTTGTTCTAGCGTGCTGTTATGTCACCTGAGCACAATGTGCACGTGCACGCTTACTGTCAAGAGAGAAAGCCGACTGGTCTTAGGAAACAGAGAAATACTGCCGTTGACATGCTGCTACAGCAGCTTCTACACGATTCAGACAGCACTGAAGGTACAATAAAAGTACATTATTTAAACTACATTACTATATTTTGTTTAATTTTATTAAGAGAGCTCTGTTCCATAAATTATATACCTGAACAAACTGCTACAGGAGAAATAAAACCAGCATATGAATAGATCAACAGCTAATTTCATGACACCAATTTCATGAAACGCTATTAGTGTCACCCCCACATACTAAACAAATCAACGAAATGTTTAGACTTACATGATGATATAACAGTACTGTAGCATTCGTCTCAGGATTAACAACTCTGATAGTAACTGTGCAGTATTGACACTGCAGGGTGACAAAGCACTGCATTCAGATTTTAGGGTACAGATTTGACCAAGTTCACCTCCGTTCCATTTTACTGTGCCACTTGCTGTGTGTAACGCTATTACAGGTTGTTAGTGCACTGCTTTGTTTGCTGCCATTTGATTACTTTTTGCAGGATAACCGACAGCCACTGCGGTTGCCGCCTCCCATCGAAAAGGGACTTTACACACGTTTGCAACCTCTGATGCTGAGCCGCTCTGTGAAAGCCACAAATGTATCATACCTGACAAGGATCTCTGTGGATCTCAACTTTACACCTGATAAACACAAACCCGGAAATATTATACAGACTGGGAGTCTAGAACAAGTCAAATATGAGACTAAAATTATTTCAAAACAACTGTGGCTGTAGGAGTGTCAACGTCTGATTTTTTGTTTCCCACCGCAATTCAGCAACTTTGTGTAAATTGCAAACTTGCATTTTGAAGAAACGCCAAACTCAGACATGTTTCGCCAATTGGTTACAATGAAATTAATAATAATTGCTTTGTGGACGTGGCTGGGACTTGAGTTCATTGTGGCTTTTTGGTATTTAAAATATTATTGAAAAAAACCCCTCAATGAAACAACAGCTGAAAATAACGTAAATCTTTTTTCTGGTTTAAAAAAACGAGTAACTACTTGAAACTGGCAAATACTGTCGCACACAATGGAAATATTAAATAGGAAATTATACACTGTTTTCCCACAATCTCCTTTTAAATTTTTCATTATTATCTTGCTATTCATATCTTAGTCATTTAAATGTAAATTATTTTATTACAATTAACGTTATTTTAAAAAACTGGGTGTAGACTTCATTCAATTTGTCTAAATTCATTTGTGACAGTATCATCTGAAGACACTATACTGTGGTAAAATGTAACTTTGTGTAACTTTGCTTTGTTTACCAAAAAAAAAAGGAATGATGCATAAAAAAATATCATCCAGTACTACCAAAGTTAGCGATATCAACAAAACTACTTTAATCACAAAAACAACAGTGTTTATCTAGTCAGCACATGCAGCAAATGGCTATCCACATTATCTGCTTCAACACATAATTCCAGCCCTGGCTAATCTATTGACCAAAATGATTAAAGAAATAACTCCTGTGAAAATAACCATCTCCAACTGAGTGGTTTGGGAATGGAGCCCCACCCTGTTTACAACACTGAGAACAAAAACAAACTCCCTCCAAGGAGGCCAGGCAAATGCAAGTCACACACTCCAACCAATACAGGCAAACAACAACAACATCTGAGGATCTACTGGGAGAGCGGGCTACCAAACAACAGCAGCCTGCACACAAACAAGGTGAGAGTTTCGAACTGTCAGAGGGAGTGAACTGGAGACTGAAAGAAAGTCTGTGTGTTTGAGAGAGAGAGAAAGCGAGACTCGGTGTGAAAGTGGAATTGAGTAGCAAAAGAAAAGTCAAATACCACCCGCGCCGCCCCAGTCTCAGGTCAACTGAATCATCAGGAGTCAGGGAAGATACCGTCACCGCTTTCCATGAATAGCTCACAAAACCACATCAGAATGACTTCACCGAAGCAAAAACAATAGTTTGAGAACACTCTTCCTCAATATCCAGGGGACTCTGAATGAAGAAGTAATGAATCTCAGTTAACAAGGCCATTATCAGTGAGAGAGCTACATCATCCCGATGGACTACGGATCCATAAGGCCCTTACGTCCACTGGCCTTTTATTGTCGCTATTATCTCCTAAGGTATGCCATTAACAATTGTACAAAAAAAGATGAAAGTATCGTGTGTTTGATCTCACACTGTACATCATCATAGTAAACAATGAGGCTGTATAAGGGACACAGGCCCAATTAGCCATCTCTGCTCTCAGCTGTCAAGTGTTTAAACAGCTTGCTAGGATGATAATAGTAACCTGCATACTTTCATCTGTGCTCCAGACTCATCAGCATGGTAGCACCTTTGCTTAAGCGCTGCACTGCATCTTGGGTAATTACTGCTTCCCAATTACCTCCCAGCTGGTAAATATATATCAAATAAACAAGCAACAACCCGTCAATTAGGAGCGCCGTTTCATAATGGGGGTACAAAATGATGTTTTATGCAGAAACAGAGGAAAGCAGAGAGAAAGGGGTAGCATTCAACATCAAAGTGAACTTGTATCTGTTAACTGCACTTACAGTACATCTGAGCATAGCAGTTTGTGAAATAATTAAATCACACGTGTTTACAACTAGTATGAGACTCTAATTAAAGGTATTTTTAATTACAAACAGGGTGAAAAAATACAGCTTGTGATGGTGCTGTTGACTGAGAATGGACTTAAAAATGAAATGTGGCCTTTTCTTCACAGATGAGTGAAGTGGGACAGTAACATTGTCGAATTCAAAGGCAAGGAGAACAGCTGCAGCAACAGTCTGTCAACAAAATTTGCATTGCTGCTCTTTCCTCATCTCCATTACTCTCTCCTGTCTCTCCTCAAGCCCACGGAGCTGCCGGCTCAGATCTGAGTACTCTGATGGCTTATCACATAGCGAGCAGCAGGCTAAGCCGGAGTGATGCGCCCAAAAGACATGATCAAAGCACACCAACTTTCCACCCAGCAATGATGATGGAAGAGCAGGCTCTGCCATGTTATGTTTCTTATTACGCTTGGACTGGCAAGTGAAAACACAGCAAAGAAGTCAAAGATGAGGCCCTAAAAAAATTTCTCCTGCAACCTCATTTTATATTTTTATTATTTTATTTTTTCATATCCCTACTATACTTACAGAGGCTTAAATAGTAGTCTGTGACATTTTCCTATCAATAAATGTCAGTTTTGCTACTCTTATTCCCACATACCATAGTATTGATCTAATCTACAAGCAAGCCCTGAAAGCTTGTATTTTGAAGTGCTAGAGATCCAGCTTTGGATAGGTTTTAAGATTTACACAGTGCGATTCAAGTAAAGTCTCCTTTTCTTCTGCATGAACAGAGAAATCTGTGCCATAGCATGAAAAGCCACCAAAGATAAAAAGTGAAAATTACAGCGTGGCAACACAAGAATCAAACTCTTCACGAACAGACAAACTACATCGCAGATCTAACCACATGGCTCAACTAGAAAACGGATTCTAGTGAAGTCAGCTTAAAGATACTAAACCACACAAGTTGCCACTGACATATTGAAAACATTTTTTTTTGCCTTTTTTTATTACAATTTTTGGATTATGATTTTTCACATTGTATTGAGTCACGTCTACGTTAGATAAATATCACAATTCCTACACCAGTGACACTGGCTGACTTTTTAACACCCTGCATCATATGAGCTCTGGAATTACAACACAGCTGACCCTTTTATCTCAACAGTAACCATTAGGGATGCACCAAATCACCTTTTTTTCCATTATACCATGTCCTAATTTAACACCGTTGGTGGTTAGGTGTAAATAAGATGCATTCCTCACTGTGAGAAACAGAGTGGGACTGTATAAGACAACATTGGTCTTGGCTCAGACACTGCTTTCCAAACCTGGTAAAATAAAAAGTAACAAATAAATACATCAATTTTACCGACTTTAAAGAGAAAAAAACAAATACAAAGTTTAGAAATCGTATTCATCTTAATCATCGAATTCATTTGCACTAGTTTAATCTCACTTCAGTGTAGGCAGCTGTTATTTACGGTCATGTATAGTAGTGTAGTTTCACCTTTCCTCCACTCAGTCTGAGTGCACTTTATTTTACTGTTCCTCTCACACACACACACACACGTTTACATGGAGTGGAGAGAGGATACGAATGAAGTGAAAAATATTAAAAGAGCTGGCAACAACACTTAATGTTACCACAAGTGCAGTAAACACAAAACATAAAAACACTGAGAGAGACCAAGAGAAAGAAAGCATCACTGCAGTTTTTCAGTTGACCACAGTTTGCAGGTTATCTTCAAATTTTGGCAAACATAGCCATGAAATCTATTGACATAACTAGCGTGAAAACCCCGCAAACTGCTGAGATTTTCCTGTTAGCTTCTTCGATGCTACTTTAGCTCTCTGCTTGCACCTGATTCACTGCTGCTGATATATGGCATAGTAACTTAGATCATATTGCTGTCATTGATGGTTGAGTCAGGTTTTGACGTCAGGATTTTCCTGATATTCTATCCAAACATTAAATTAGTTCATCTGTGATTACGGTTTTATCTTTTTTTCTGCAGTGACAAGCAAAGCAACAAACGTTAGTGTCTACACCACTTCACACTGTAAGGAAAAAATACTTATCTGCGAGACAAATCACACACAGAGAGAGGCTTCAAACATAAGTCAGTGTCTACATAAACTATGGAAGTTTTAACAGAGTTGAGAACCACTTACAGTTCTGATGTCACAAACTGTCACAAGTGGCTTTAGATTATTCTCAGAGCTGGCTTCACTTCCTGTCCATGTTGTCCTGGAATGACAAACAGAACAGCACGTTATTATCTAGGGGGTGAGTAAACAACCTATATACACTCAAAACACACACATATGTGGTACATCTTTAGGTAGTGTATAAAACAAATACGCTATTATGTTGTTATTACACTGGCAAATATTAATAATAAACATATTTCTATCATAATGTTACACTGATGTTCAGGTCACAGCTACTGAGTAATGTGTGAGTGAATCTGTGAGCAAAACAAACCGGGATGTTGCAGAAATACGGTTCATTGACACACACAAAAAAAAAGCCTGATTAAATTCAGCCGAAAATGTGAGTTAATCTGTGTGAATGATTATCAATACATTTTGGAGAAAAATCCCTAAAAAATGATATTATCAGCCCAACCGTGCAACATCATAAACACACACACAGACTGGACAGCTGATAGAAACAGGTGCTGAGGTTCAGCCTGGCAGCTGAGCACAGCTTGCAGCATATGTCTGAGCCCCTCATGTCTGGACCAAAATGTTTGTAGCTTACCTGCATCGTTCCCCAAACCTTCTGTGGTGTTGTATTACAGAGGAAATTCTGATTTTTAAGCTACTGCATTGTAGCTCGAGAGAAAAACATGGACTCGTAGGAATAAGAGCACAATTATCATATTAAACTGTTTGGATATTCGTATAAGTCTACCAGCAACAATTCATAACACTGTCTATTCACTTATTTATAACTAGCTAAATTTGGAATATTTTGATTATTTACTAAAAATATATAGATGTGGATGGGTTCCGCTGCACTCCTAAAAACACCAGTGTCCCTTCTCTTAAATTGTTTGTTCCTGTTTGCTTTCTCTTATGTGATTAAAATAAATACATTTTATTTTGAAATCCAATGTAAAAACACCATAGAGGATAAAGTAAATATTCTTATATATTTAAACAGCTCAAGCATAATTTATTTCCCAGCAATAAACAGGCCGTGCTCCAATGTTGCACTGTATTCCTAAAACACAACACCAGTAGTAAATTCATTTTGTAACTCAAGTTAATTGATTGTAATTGCATGCTCTCTCTCCTCCCATGCAGGCGGATGACATTTTTTTGTCAGCATCCCTGCCTTTATTAAGGACAGATGACAGTAGAAGACAGTAATTAATGGCTGCCCAAGTTAATAGCCATCCTGAGCGTTTTGGCAGTCTCCATAGAGACCGAGGAGCTGCGCAGAGCTCACCTGAAGCTGTCCACTCTCTGACCAATCGCCTTTGCTGTCACAGAGAACAGTCTGCCAGGGGCCGCGCCACAGGGGCCGGGACACACTAACCTTTACCCTGGAAATATTGTTCTGCTTTCCTTTGTTATCCATTCATGTAACACAGCATTAATGAGCATGCTACACTCATATTCATATTGCCGGTACTCTTCTCCCCCTTTTGTGTCGTGTGAATCAAACATGCAAAAATCACACGACAAATTCATTTACCAGAAAATTCCCTTTTATTCATCTGTCACTTGTCTTGGTTTGTGGAAGAAAAAAAAAGGTTTCGAGCAACTGGTTTTGAGGGCGTCTTGTAATCTGCAATCAAATGAGGGGTGAAGCAGGCAAATAAATCTGAAGGAAACAATATAGTGAAAGCAGAACCTTATTCCCACACTGGACCCGAAAATAACTCTCCTTATCATTCAGCTGCGAGCTCGGGTGCACAGTCAGTTTACAGCCCCTCTGTACCCAGCACAGGGTATTTCAATGTGTGTTCACAAATACTGAGCCGTCAGATGAAAGAGAGGGCCGCTCCACTCAGGGATGGGAGTCCTCGCACTGAATGCATGAGTGACTGATTACTTTCTTACCAGTTGAACCTCGGCTCTCTACAAAGAAGAGCCTTACCCAAGCCTGAAGAGGCCAAACTAGTAACAAGGGCTTTCTAAATTATACAAAATCACAGATTGGTGTGTTAAGCATCTTGCGTCATTACAATGCATAAAGCTGCTCTTCCTCAAATTTCAAGCTATTTTTTTAAAATCCCCCTCGCCAACTCAATTTATTCAGTTTCAGTACGGAGCAGGAAAGTACAGTCTTTCTCATTTGTAGACGGAGGCGTGGGGGACACACTTAGGTCGTTCCCATCAGAAACAGCAGAAGGTTGAACGTCTGTATGTAATAGCCGTGTCAAACAGCAGGCCCTGGAAAAGTTGCAAAGAAAGTTCATCCTGAGTTTTTCCTTTTTTTTTTTCTTTTTTTTTTTGGAAACCTGGGTCAGCATTTGCGAAGGTCCATTTCTGCATAAGTGAGCACACAAACCCCAGTGCCTGTTCAAATAGTCTGCAGCTCTCTCTCAGGCAGCTCATGACAACAGCCCAGCAGCAGCACTGTTTGATCTCCAATGTTTTCCTTAATCTGGGTTGTCAAGGTTCGCTTGTTGGAGGCTGTTTACTTTACTTCTCCTACAAAAAAGTGTTTTTTTCCCCTCAGACAATGACTAATCCAAAGACCAAGAAGGAGGGAGCACTGCCAGCAATAGTTGTTAAAGCTGCAGTTTCCCTTTTGTAAAATTTCAGATAGTTTTAGTTGCCATCTGCAATCTTACTGTATGAAACATTAGGGCAAGACTTTATTTATTTATATTTATTTACTTTAGTTATTAAAAAAATATATAATAATTTTTGGCACTATTTTAATTCTGCCTAATATTAAAAATTAATACAGACTGAGTGTATCAGATAATTTGTTTATTAGTTATCCACTGTATTTGTAAATAGTGCTTATTTGCCTGTAAGACCCCTTTTAAAAAATACACGTTAAAATAATTTTTAAAAAATGTTTTAACGTGTTTGCAATAGGTGAGCTTAAATGCTACAGTGCTGTACAACATTCCTTTGCACAAATAATAATGTTACTGTCTATTAGTTAAAAAAAAGTTTAACTACACTATTGCAACAACTTGATCTGCAAATATTAAATTAACAAACAAAACAATCTCCATTTTCCGTACAGTGATCGCAGCTCCAGCCAATTTACATTTATGAAAATGTTCAACTGTAACCCACAGCACATCTTATTCAACACAACCATTGTCTCACATCCTGTGCAAACCACTATAAAAGTTGAAATATATAACGTTTAACACTTTCAAAGCGCTATTTTACGTTACCACAGCCATAATTAGGAATTAACTCCGTAATTCCTTTGTGCTAATGAAACGTTACGAAATGAATATCCGCTTTTACTTGTGTTGGGTACACAGCCTTACCGCTGAGCAGGGAAGCCACACCGACAGAACACGCTTGAATAACGCAACTGATGGACAGCTAAATAAAAGTAATGATAACTTTCAAAGTTGAGGACTTGCTACACTTCTGACTTCCTCCGGTCTTTCTGAGTTTGGAGCACAGCTAACACGTGGGGGAAAAGCTCCATCCCTGGTTTCACTCCAAAGAAATCACGGCACTCAAAACTTCCCCTTCACCGTGTAAAGTTTAACAACAAAAAAAAACAACTTTTACAGCGCATCCTTAATATGTAGCGTGGTAATTACGGTCTGTTAGCGGCCATTGCTAAGCAGCACGTTATAAACATGTAGCATTCATTTTGAAAATACTTTTTGGACGAGAGGTGCATTTCCCCCCGGGGTCTCACGAGTAGCCTCAACTAAGTTAGAAACCCAACTTTTCCCAAAAAAGAAAAAGAACAAAAAAGCAGAGGGTAAATATAGAGTCGTAAAGATATTCTTGTAAAAGCCGCTCGGTACAGCTGCATTAAAACGGCGCTACCTATCGCCCAACGTTATAATAATACAGGTGTATATTTATTTCGCTATTTGTAACAATTCGGCAAACAGCAAGACAAAACCGAGACAAACTCGGTGCGAGTATCCGAGTGCAGCTGCAGCAGCCGCAGCAGGTATCTAGACACGAAACAGCAAAGCTAACGTTAACATTAGAATAGTAGTGAAACTTACCAGAACGGAAAAAAACGCTTTACAGCAGCTAACAGGGCGCACGCGGAGGGTACCGATTCGCTAGTATGAGATAACGAAGCCGTGCACGCGAGCTTGTGTACCGAGAATGCGTGCAACAACAAATCACACAGTAAACAGTGAATATTACTCCGCCCGGGAGGTGGAGGGGGGGAACTAACTAAGTAACTTAAAAGATAATCTTACCGAGGGCGTCGAAATAAAGCGAAATGTGGAGTTTCACACTCGCTGCCTGCCAGTCTTTCTCGCAGGAAAAGGCACGAGCTCCTTGCTTAATGTTCTTATTAGATTTTAACACGCTGTGAAAAGAAGGAGGAAAAAAAAGGAAGAATCGCTGATTTGGATGTTGTTGTTTTGATCTTCCAAATCCGTGACGTCATATCCACCTGAGGTAAACAACGTTCATTGCATTGCAGATCCTAACATCATAGTCACAAGTACATTTCAGTAGCACTTAGTAGCACTTAGTAGGTCCTTTCTATGGGGAAATGTAATGATATGCATTAGTTTTAGCTGAAAATGTGACAGGAGAGAGGGGGCTGTCAGAAAAGCTAAAATCTCTAAGCTCACTAATTATAACTGAGGCTGAATGAACTTCTATTATTTCAGAAAAACTCTCCTGTCTTTTTTTTAAATTATTATTTTACTATTATTTTTTCTGATCTATGGTTCATCATAACTCTTCCAAAGCCTCACTTAATAAAAAAGAGATAAATGCTTTGACATACTCATCATATATGTTTTAATCTCCAGCTTTGAGGAATTTTAAGCATTGATGGTGGTGGTGGGCAGTACAGACAGTATAGATAATCAAAGTCCAGGTTCTTTTCAGTATGGGCTGCATATCATTTTCTAACATGTAAGCCAGCTCCTCTGGGTGTTTTAAAGGGAATGTCAGCACACCTACATTTCAACAAAGTTGTTTCACTGGTTGGAGTAACTGTTCTGGTTTAAAAGTTTTGCTCACTCTTACACAAAAGCAATTATACAAATGCAACCACAACTCAAATGTCCTGGAGAAGAGACTGGGAAGGTTTAAGTGTCCAGTTAACGCTGAGTGTAAGGCAGCATTAATGTGCCCTCAGAAAATACTCTGAATTTCTTTGATTCATTCCTCTTTTTTGGCCTTGATCAATATTGGAGAAGCACAGCTCACTTCACTGTAAAGGACATTGCATTTATCATGGCTGCATCAGAGCTGAGCGCTGCTGATGGACCTCTGATGAGAGACTGTTTCTTAGTAGAGAGCGCCACCCTCTGGTAGCACACTGTCATGAGACGAATTACTCTAATATTTCCACTGAACAAACACTCGCATTTTGAGATTATTGATATTTGACTTCATATAATCAATCCCTCTAACAAAACATGCACAATTTCATATCCACAAGCTTCTCTGATATTCATAATCCATTAATATATGCTTTTTTGTTTTGTTATTTAAGTCTTGGCATAAACTTTGTAAGTTTGAAGCATCCCATTGCACTGGTATTTAAAATAATATAGCATTTAAACCTTTAATATACCATTACTAATGATGATAAAGATTTTTATATATGTTTTTTGCCTGGTAAGTTTTCCTGCGATTCACTCACTGGAGTCTGGTGTCTGTCACTGAGCGTAATACATATACTGCTCACTGACTTGGCACCAAACACTGATTATTCCACACAAATAAAAACACTGTGCCATGATCCTAATAATATTTCTGTGTTGCCTGCAGGAGGCTGCTGTCTACAGTTCTGCACCTAAATGTCAGATTTCTTATTTCTTATGTTACTGAGAGACTGTCAGGCGATCTTCTGCCCTGCTGCAGTTACCTCTGACACCATCAGCAGTGCACCAAAAGTCACAGTGAGCTGACATTGTCCCTGTTACTTCATAGTGACAGTAACAAACAGGAAAATACAGCATTACCAACTACTTCCTGTTGTCTCTTGAAATGCTTCACATAAACTAGGTCTGTAAAGGCTTTAAACATTAAAAAAGAAAAACAAACAGGTTTCATTTTTAAAATAAAAGAGTTAAAGAGAGTAAAATAAGATCCCAATTTTGTTTGTGTTTTGTGTTTAGTTTTTATTAAATAAACTGTATCAGTAAAGTGTACAAGTGCAAGTTATAGAAAAAAGATGATGTTCTAAAAATGCTTTGTTTACAGTGTATGTATTATAGCATGTAGCTCGTGGGTGTTGTATAAATTTACAGCCCTTCAAGGCCAGAGCACAAGACAGCTGTCCTTTGAGCAGTTTATTTCAATTCATTTTAATTCAGTTTCATTGGTATAGAACCAAATCACGGAGGCAGAGACACTACAATGATAGAGAGAAAACCCCAACAATCAGATGACCCCCTATGAGCAAGCAATTGGAAGAATCTCTTTTAAACAGGAAAAAAACAACAGCAGAACTAGGCTCAGGGAAGGGCAACCATCTGCATGACGGTTGGGGATGAGGGGAAGAAAGCAGGACTAACTACATGATTTATCAAAAAGGAAAGCTTTAAGCCTAATCTTAAAAGCAGAGAGGGTGTCTCCTGAATCCAAACTAGCAGGATTTATGTGTTTAACTATAATGTCGGGACCTTCCTCTAAAACCAAAGTGTTCACAACTGAAGAAATAAAAACAATTAAATGCAGGCAAATGGCCAAAACCAAAGATAAGATTTCACACAAGCGAGTATACGTCTCTGTGGTGCGCTACCTGTTGTAGCCTATAAGCATTCACAGACAGATCAGTCACTGTGGGCCCTAAAATGAAGAGCCTCCTGTGAGCCTACACTGCATTTCAGTTCAAATACTAAACTGTCAGACTCAAACTTTGACACCCAAAACACGCACATCTGGCTTTTGAATGTGTCTGCACTCTCGTTGTGATGCAACTACATGATCACCACAAAATTCCTATAGGAGTTGCACTTTACTCTGAGTTGTATTTTCTGCAGCTTTTCATTTGATTAACATAAGGTTGTAAACATGATTGTCTGGTGTAATTAAAGATAAAAATCCAAATGTCTATAAAGTCTTATGGCGTTAATCTAACACACAATCCCAGCTTTCTATTCCTTCATGGGCTTGATCTGCATGTCAATACTGGATCTATGAGCTCAGCAGAGCCCAGCAGCCATGTGCCTGTGTCGGAATTTATTATCCTGTTTTGTTGGTGTCATGCTGGCGATGTGTCGTGCGGATTAAGGCCCCGACTTGATGGAGTGTAGTTACAAATTAATTGAGGATCACTATCAGTTACGTAACAGCCTCTCTACACATACGCGTGCACACAACAAAGTAATTAGCTTTCTGTTAATTAGGTAATTAAGCAAATGAATAGGAGCTCCTCTTGATTTCAAACGGGAGGGGCAGATGGCTTTCATACGGTGTTTTTCCCCTTGCTGCCGTGGGCTGTAGCACTGAAAGTGTGATGAAAGGAAGAGGACTTGAGGAGGAAGTGTACAGATAATGACCTATAAAGAACTGTTAAATGAATAAAAGGAAGAAGAAGAAGCAGGGGTTAGGTTACCAAAGACTGCCTCTGAAAATATGAATGGCAAGACTGCACAGGCTTTATATGTTTTCAAATTTTGTGAGCCAGAAAGTTAGTTAGTAAGATAATGCTCTGTTAAAATGGCATATATATACACACACATGACATTACTATATACAGGATGGGCCATTTATATGGATACACCGTAATAACATGGGAATGGTTGGTGATATTAAAGTCCTGTTTGTGGCACATTAGTATATGTGAGGGGGCAAACTCCTCAAGATGGGTGGTGACCATGGTGGCCATTTAGAAGTCGGCCATCTTGGATACAACTTTTGTTTTTTCAATAGGAAGAGGGTCATGTGGTCCGAAGAGGTTAACACGTGAGGAGTGGATCGAAATCGTGTTGATATCTGGTGAACGCAGTAACCGGGTCATTGCAGCAGATTTCAATGCAAGACACCCTACGAGACCACCCATCTTCCATGCTACAGTTAGCAAACTGCTTGCTAAGTTTCGTGAAACTGGTTCAGTGTTGGATTTGCCAAAATGTGGACGCAAGAAAACTGTCACTAATGAAGAAACATCAGTGGCTGTCCTAGCTTCATTCAGCAAGAGCCCACAGCGTAGCACTCGCCGCATGTCACTGGAGAGTGGCATTAGTCGAACATCCCTTCGGCAGATATTAGCTACTCACAAATGGCACCCTTACAAACTCCAGCTACTGCAGCATCTCAACGAGGATGACCCAGATCGGCGCACAGAATTTGCAGAATGGGCAAAACAAAAATTGGAACAGGACCCTCAGTTCACGCAGAAGATTTTGTTCAGTGATGAGGCAAACTTTTATGTGAATGGTGAAGTTAACAAACAAAACACCGCTATTGGTCTGACACTAACCCACATTGGATGGATCCCTCCAAGACTGTTGGAACAACAAAAGTGATGGTTTGGTGTGGTATATGGGGTACAACGATAGTGGGTCCATTCTTCATCAATGGAAACCTCAAGGCCACTGGATATTTGAAATTGCTACATGATGATGTGTTTCCCTCTTTATGCACTGAAGCTGGCACGTTCCCTGAGTTTTTCCAGCAAGATGGTGCACCACCACATTATGGGTGCCAGGTCCGAGCATTCCTAGATGAACAGTTTCCTGGAAAGTGGATTGGTCGTCGTGGGCCAGTTGAATGGCCCCCAAGGTCTCCCGATCTGACCCCCTTAGACTTTTATCTTTGGGGTCATCTGAAGGCAATTGTCTATGGTGTGAAGATACGAGATGTGCAGCACCTGAAACTACGGATACTGGATGCCTGTGCTGGCATTTCTCCTGCGGTGTTGCTATCAGTGTGTGAAGAGTGGGAGAGGAGGGTTGCATTGACAATCCAACACAATGGGCAGCACATTGAACACATTTTACAAGTGGTCAGAAACTTGTAAATAACTCATGAAAGAATAAAGTTACGTTGAAACCAAGCACACCATTGTTTTTCTTGTGACATTACCAATAAGTTTGATGTGTCACATGGCCCTCTTCACTTTGGGATGACCTTCTGTGGAGATAAAGTTGCCAACCAGCAACCAGCTTGAAAATCACATGTTAAAACACATTTTTCTAGGCATGTATTTCTTTGATTCCATTACATGTGATGCCTTTTTCCCTCAAGCTGTTTAGCCATCTTGCGTTCTGTTTAAATCTGACCTTTGAGTATTTATTTTCTGCCTGTCTGTCAAAGCACTTTGTATTTTTTTATGGTGCTGTATTAACAATGCAGTTTTCTTTACTTTATCCGGCACCATATTTTACAAAGTGAAGATGATGATGCATTAAGTAAGACTAAGTGACTGAAAACTAAAACACATCAGGAAACTGTTTACTGAAACCACACATTAAGAGAGACCAATGCTGTTTTCCCCCTGACTTCCCTTTAAAATGCTTCCTCTTTTTGCAAGTGTAAGTCACCGCCTGCTGGTCATTTAAAAGAATGCAGATTTAAGGCATTGCACAGGCTCCAGTTTTAACCATTCATAGTTACGTATCGTCTTGACACATCTTGCCATGTTGTACTTGAACTCTATTTAAATTCTATTTAAACTGTTAAAGCTAACCTAAACAATGTTGCATTTGGAATATACAGCCGTTCTCTTTCAGGGTCACGGGGGTGCTGGAGCCTAACCCAGCTGTCATAGGGCGAGAGGCGCTGCATGGACTGTTGTTCATTTACAGTCCATATTAATTGGAAACATAACACACATCTTTGCCAAACACATGCAATCATGAACCCACAAAAGCTTCCTTTCAGCTCTTTTAATGCCAGTGTGATAACAAAGACATTTGGTGTGACTGTTACCAGAGGAAGTGCTAACAAGCAGTCTTCTTGTCAGTAATTCACATTTTAGCAGGAAAATAACAACACTTATTATACACTCTCCAGTCACTTTCTTAGGTACACTAGTTTAACTGTTTAATGCAAATGTCTAATCAGCCAATCACATGGCGTCAACTCAGTACATTTAACCATGTCGGCACGGTCAAGATCCAAAATGGGGAAGAAAGGTGAGTTGAGTGATTTTGAACAAAGCATGGTTGTTGGTGCCAGACGGGCTGAGCCGAGAATTACTGATTGACTGGCGTTTTCCCAGTTTGTGGGTATTTTGATAGGAAGACAACAGTAGGGCAAAATAATCTGTTATAGACCAAGGCATGCAGAAGAATCTCTGATTATATAAAACAGTACCCTAAAACAGATGGGCTGCAGCAGCCGAAGACCAGACCAGGTGACAGTCCTGTCAGGAAGCCTACAGTTTACACAAGCTCACCAAAATTGAACAATAGCAGGTTGGAAAATTATTGCATGATCTGATGAGTCTAAACTTCTGCTGTGACATGTGCATGTTTACAATTTGATGTAAACGGTGTGAGAGCATGGATCCATCCTGCCTTGTATAACTAATTCAGGTTTGTGGTGGTGGTGCAACGGTGAGGGGGATATCTTCTTGGCACACTTTGGGCACCTTAGTACCAACTGAGCATTGTTGCTGACCATGTCCATCCATTCATGTCCACACTGGGCCCATGGTCAGCTACAAACAACTGTATAAACCATTTCAGCTGGCTGCTCATAACAGGCACAATCAGTAGGAAAACAGACAGCATGTAACTTAACTAAATCTAGGAATGGATCTGTGCACGGCCAGGAGCTGCACAAGGGATATTTACATCATATCTTGGGTATTAGACATGTTCAGAGCCCCAAAGTCCTAATTTCACAGTCGCTCGCTCCAGCTTGTTGTACAGTGCTCACTAAAGACAGGAGAAATGTTGCAGTGTTTATTGCCAAAACATTTCATACACTTATTTAGACTGAGGGGGTCAGTGAACTTACAAGGAACTTTGCAGCAACTACTTGTGTTGTGAATGAGGTCATTTTAGATGGGTTGAGCCTTTCTGGTCTCTGAGAAAGTTTACTGAAAGCTACACGAGGTACATTACACAGATTATATGTGGTAATGAGAATTTCCTTTGCATCCTTTAGCCTCTTGTGATTTTGAGGCCTGCATCTTATTTCCAAACAGCAACAGCAAGTTGTTCTCTTCAGATTAAACTTTCACATCTAATTAACGCCAATATTAATGTTATCAGTAGCAAACTTGCTTCATGGAAGGTCTAAAAATTCATGACTGAAAAGCTGAGGTTATCAGTCATATAATCACCACCAGTCAGTATTTAAAATCAGGTCTTACAATTACAAGGTGTGTGAGGACCAAAATCAATGCGCTGCCTGAATGAATTAGCACAAAGTGGCTGAGGATATGCAAAAGCTTTTAATACACCGAGACATTCCCCATGAAATAACATTAATTTCCTTTAACGGGCCTGTTATTGATGTTTGTATTGTGCAAAATGAAACGCCGGTGATAAGCACTTCATTTTCGGCTCCATTTTATTTACTTTGCCCGTATCGCTGCACAATGTTTACAAAGGCCAAATTCTCCTCTCGTAACCATCAACCCGTCCAAAGTTGAACTATAAAAGTGGTGCTGACATACCAGAAGCGTTTCAGTAACTGAAGCCCTACACTGCAATAAAACCACGGCACGGGAACAGGGTTAGTGAAGGAAACCGATTGAGACGCAGAGAAAAGGTTTGTGACAAAAAATTAAAAATACAAATAAAAATGTATGACTGGGACAGAATTATGACCTACAGTATAAGAGTAATTTTTTTCATCGATGCCGTGACAACTGAAACTTGTCATATCTGCTGTTTTTTTACTCATTCATATTTTTTCCTTTTACAAACATTGCTAAATCTGGGAAAAGCAGGACCTTCAGTAACATTCTTCTAAGCCAATAATCCAGCCCCCTTTCCCTCTGTGTGTGTGTGTGTTTTAATGGACACAGTCCAAGTAAGCAAACTACTAGATTTATTGGTAGGAGAAACAAGTAGAGACAAACACCAAAGAGCCGAGCACAAAAATGTGCCATGTATCTCCCCCAAACAATCTATGTCTCTGTTTAAGAGAGCGGGGCGGGGTCTTTCAACGTGCATATTGAAAGAAATGTCCAACAGGGTGTGGAGAGGAGCGTTGTTAGAGGCACCTTACAGGATAACGCTGTTAAAAAAAAAAAAAGAAAAGATAAAATCACAAGCCAAATATGCAGGCTTTGAATGTCACATCTGTGCTATATGACAGCTTTATAACTAGATAACATCATAATGGGAACTGGCAGCTATGTGCAATATCTTTGAAATGTTACCCTGATTTCAGTTTGATGTACACTTGATGAAGATTCAAGAAACCAATTGGGACATCCACCTCCATCCAAGTGGCAAATGTCCAGCTGAATACAAACGACACCTTCACCATTAAGATACAAGCTCCTTAAATGGCAGGAAAGTGCTTTGGCACTGAAAAAGCAGACTTGATTAAAACACGACATGAATGCATACGTCTAACATACACAACAGCTGAAACTAGCTAGGTTAAGTAGCTGCTACCTCTACCAGGAATAAAATTGCGAGGTCCACAGTCTGTGCACATGACGGGACCATGGTGGCAGTGCAGTTCAGTGTAGCAGGAAAGGCAAAAAATCGACGTGAAGTAACGAACTCGGGGTGAGATTTACGCTGGATAAACATTCTCTCGAGAGTTTCGAGCTGTTAGGACCCACATTTAAATGAAACAAGGCATCAGTCATTAAAAGTTATAAAAATAGATTGATAACATTTCCTTGTTGAGAGCAAAATAATATCCTCGATTAGGTTGTGGACAGTGCCTTCACGCCAAGGCAGGAACAGAGTTCAGGTTAAAAAAAAAAAGAAAAAAAAAAAGGGGGGGTGGGGCGGCAGTAGAATCTAATGTCTTGAGCGTCCTCCCTCAAAGGCATGATGCTCCATGTGAGCTGAAAGACACACAAATTTAGATCACTACACACGCAGGAAACAGAACTCAGCTACAACTTATACACTGTCACTTAAATAGTGTAGCTCATTACATTTTTGGCTACAAATATGTAACAGGCAGAGACAAAAAGAGCCCATCTCAATGTGTTATGTGAAGCAAGTAAGAAGGCATATGGGGGGAATTTGCTGCCTGATCAGCCTACAGCCATGCACCCTTCTTAAATCATTCTGTGACATGCTTACATGTTCTGGTTAGGTCCTTCAAGTATGCACAGTTTACTCTTATTCTCTCATCTACCTCATACCATAAAGAGAGTACCTGCTTCCCTCTTTAAACCTTTAGCGTGAATTCAAAAGTACAAGTGAAACAAAAACAGGCATACTTACACTTATAAAAAACAGCTTTAAAAGATATGTACGGGAGCAGCTCATAAACTTTCCCCAAGATATTTGCTTCATTAGCGAGAGATGCATCGCTATTCCACACCTGTACAACATCTTCCCGATCCCGGACGCTAACGCTGACGCCAACCACCTCATCATCTGTCAAAAAGAGAAGCGATGTTAACAGTAAATCCACTTATGCGATTTACTTTTTTTTTTTAAGAACTAAACAAACCTGAGGCGCAGTAATCTGCAAACTGCTCTCCAATAGTAGCGAGTAACAATTCTTTCCAAACTGCAGACTGAAACAGGAAAAAGGCAGAAAAGCTCATGAATGATTCAGATTTGTTTACATGATGGCAGCAGATAATCAGAGGGCGGCACATACAGTGCTTTCTTTTGGTATTTTCATCTTCCATACGCCTCCCTTTGCATTACTCTCTTCTTCCCTGTTGTGTAAAAGATTAAAACACGTTACTGTGTAGCCTATTAAATAACAGGGCTTTTTAAAATCAAGATCAGGGAGTATTATACAGCAGCTGCTGCATGAGAGATTTTTCATTTGCTCATCTCTACACACCCGTGAATACTGGAATATTGACAGACTCACCACAACGGCCTCCGCTCTCCGCGCATTAAGTGATAGCTACATCTCAAAGGCAGGGCTGTGACTGGAGGGATGTTGTTGTATACACTCCAGAACATCTGCAAACAGAGAGAAGCAGCTCAATAATGGCTGCTCTTGTATTGGAGTTTTGTGGCTGGCACAGAAATGGACATTTGATCATGATATACATGGAAGGACTTTTTAATGTCAGTGTTCTCTGCTAGACAAGCTAAGTCGTATTTAAATCGAAACTGGCTTTAAACAAAGTATCTAATACAAATTTATTCACTACAGCTATCAGCAGAATGATGAAACAACTGTTATGACCTAATGTCCAAAACATCTGTCGATTTAAAGCATTAGTAGCATTTTACATTTTCGTGCATCTAAAAAGAGGACTGGTTACAGAAAGGGAAACCAGTGAGTCCAGTAGGTTCCAGTGTAGATCTGGGAGGAAAGCGGAGGCAGGGCCTTGGAGAGCCACGTGCCTACATGCCAATGACTGGATGGCACAGTTGTGTGGTGGTCAGCAGTGTTGCATCAAAGCAACAAGATCCTGGGTTTAAATCCACCAGTACGCTGCGATCTGTGGAGTCTCCCTGTTCTCTCTATGCTAGCATGGGTAGCCCCACAGTTTATGCACATGCATATTGTTGGTGATTTGAATTTGGCCTTAGACTTAATGTGAGCATGAATTGTCATCCTTCTCAGCCCGTCTGTGGCCTGTCCAGGGTGCGCTCATTGTGTAACAGCTGGGATGGGCTCCTCCCCCTGTGCAACTTTGAATTTGATAAGTGGAAGGAATTGGATGGATGGTGCATCTATGTTTTGTATTATATAGATATCAGCTGGATTCAGAAACAGACATGAATTGCAATAGTAACTTCTATCATAAGACGGTGTAGTGAGTCAGTGTGGCTTTCAGTGCATCCGCAGGCCAACGTGAAACACGAGAAACGGGTAAAATGTCAGTGGGACACCAAACAATGTCTGCACCTGGAAGGCAACCCATATCATGACAAGTACAAACTCCCAGAGGGGGAAGAAAAAAAACAAAACAAAAAAGTTGTAGCAGACTCCCACTGCTGGAGACAGCTCTTGGAGAGTAAAACAATAAAATGCTGTCATGTTACGCTTTATTAATGTAAGGCTATGCACTTGCTGTTAGGCTAATGGTGTGGTACAAATATACAGAATATGTGCGTAGTTGTAGGTAGCTGCTTGATACATCTTTGCAAACAAAAATAAAGATCCCACTTTCAGCATCAAGTAAAGTGGTTAATACATGCGGCTTACAGCGGGATTATACTTCCATATTAAATCTGTGCTGTAGGGTTGTTGTAACTGCAAACCCTTCTGAAACCATATACCACAACTTATGTGTAGCCTAATATGCACCTCCATAGAAATGTAACTGCATGCTACATCAATGCAGCGCGCAATGCCTGCGATTGGTGCAGCTGATTTCTCTCTTGCATTTCTAGCTACTTCACAATTTTTATGATTAACTAGAAGCAAATTATCAACTCACGACTAATATTTTGGAGGGAAAGCTGCAGAGCAACCAAGACAACACCACACATGGGTATAAATGCTAGCACCAGTGTCAGCACCTGGCACCGGCTCTACACCGATTGAAACATCCCTGGTTCAAGAATCAGAGGAGACACGAACCCGGCCTCAGAGGCTCACAAGTTAGTGTACTCCTAGAACTGGTCTGAAGCCTGGATCCATACATCCGGTGTCAAATCAAACATCCATCTGCTGTAGGGACCCCAGCACAAAGTACCTCAGTGTAAAAGCCACAAAGCTGAGTCACAGTGAAGTGTGCTCACATACAGGGATAAATGATTTAGCAGGCAGTAATAAATGAGTGAACATAAATGGACGGTTGCCAGCTGAACAGCAAATCTGTTTTAAGTAACTACGTTTGCTTTTATTGTCCATTTGTTCTCTTTTTTATTTTTCCAATAAGACCGACTTAAATCAGAAAAAGGCTGTAGCTTTTCATTAATTAAAAAAAGGACTGCACCACCTAAACATCGTAACAAAGGCTGCATTTTATATACTAAAGGTTTCTAAGAAAACCCTGGCCCCTGGTGGTGGAAACTTAAATTTAGCTACCTTTGATTAAAATGAAAAGTGTAAATGCTTAAATATGGTGAGCTGATTTCTTTATAGGCATGTCACTGATAAGAAACACAATAAGAGTCAGGTAAGCTGGTACTTTGTGCTTGACAAGGTTCAAAAAGGGGTGACAACTGATTTGTAAAAGTCACATTGGGAACGCTTCCAATTTAGCAAAGAGCCTAAAACATGGCCATCCAGATCTGTTCAAAGAATCCAAGCTGAAGGAGTTTCAGTTCATATTAACAGCATACAGAGTGTTATTGTCATCCTTCTCGCGTCATCCCAAAATACTCTTTACCATTTTCTTTCAAACAGCAGACACTGTTATTGTGAAATCAACTTCCGACCAAAGGTTAAATGCTAGCAATGTCTAATGTTATATAAATGCTTAAGCTAATGGAATGACATTAACAGTTAAACCTCATATTAGTGTCATGTCAATAAAATATAATACTACCATCATTATTACAGTTGTTATTGTTATCATCATCATTCATACATTACTTTTTCCCCATTTTTCTTTAGTGTGGTATTAAATTGTGTTCAATAAACAAACACATTGGTATCAACTACTACATTTCTGGTATAGTGACATCCCCATTTCTTTCTTTTTATTTTTTTTTCTTAAACTAAAAAATACCTTTCTGCAGTGCTACAAAAACAATTTCTCGCTCTCTTTTTTTAATGACTTCACTGTAATTTACAGTTGATCATTTTAGCCATTATACATGGAGCTGCATAATTTCAATATTGATGTTTTGAATGTGTGGACAGAAGAGAAAAAGAAAGAAAGCTCAGAAAATGTGATTCTGGTAACAAATCTAAAATAATTCCAAAAAGTTGGGACGCCAAGTCCTCAGATCTCCCTAAAATGAGACATTTTACAGTTTCATGAAAAATATTAGCTCATTTTTAATTTGATGGCAGCAACAAATCTCAAAGAATATGTAACCAGGGTAATAAAAGTAATTACAAAGTAACTGGTGCTAAAAAGGAACAGCTGGAGGAACATTTTGCAACAGTAACATGACATGACTCTTCAACAGCCGCCCCACCTTCTATCACAGTGATACCTGAAGCAATTACAGATGACAGCGTGTACTAGACCATCATTATTTCAAGGCCTTAGTGACACTATTTTTCAGCTTTAATTAATATTTGATATAATATACACAAACACATGAATGCACCAAATTTGCCTCATCCAGGAGAAGCCAGAGTGCAAGCCATCTTATTTTATTTACATTACTGTATTTGTGATACTTTATTTTGGTATTTCAAAAGAAATATGATTTTAATATGACATGAAGATACAATGAAACAGTTTATTTTTGACAGATGTACGCAGTTAAACTATTAAGAACGTTACGATTTCTACAATGGAACCCAATGAAATCATTGTTTCCCTTGTGGATATTTGTTATTGTTCATTAATAAGACAAAGACACATTTTTTCTGATTACTTCTAACAGATGGAATAATTGATAGAAAACTTGATTACTAAAATAACCAATAGCCGCAGTCCTAATCCAGTCCTTTTACCAACTCAAAATATTTGATAAATAATAAAATGAAAAATGTAGAATGGGACAAAAACCCTCTCCCAACACTTGCTAAAGGAAAAGTGGATGCTACACAGTGGTAAACATGACACTGTCGCACCTTATTCTGAGACACGTGGCAGCCATTCAACTTAAACCTAGATACCTTTAAAAAAAAGAAAATAACAAACAAAAACAACAACACATAAAATGGTACATTTTCTCAGTTTAAACATTTGACATGTTTTCTATGGTGTCTTGTGAATAAAATGGGGGTTTATGAGATTTACAGTTTATGGCAATCTGCTTTTATTTGCATTTTCCACAGCTTGTGGGGGGAATTTGAGGAATAAATTAGGTCTTAGTTTGACAAGCAATTCCAATTGGATTTCTACAGACATGTTTCAGTCCACCTGCTCTGCCTGCCCAAATTGGGTTTCAAAGTGCCTTTCAAGTCCCTCACTATGCAAAGCACAGCGGCAGATCCAGAGTGACAGACATATTTAGCAGAATCCACGTTGCTACCAACAGAGCCCTGTGGAGGACAACATAGAGGGCAACAGTCTGCAGACAGAAACTGAAATAAATTTATCTGCTGCCACTTTTGGAAGTGGCTTCTAAAGAGGCAAAGCTGGAGGAACCAATTTATCAGGCTGTTTCACCAGCATAGCTACATGGACACCAATGCCAACACTGGAACGGCAAATTATGCAGACAGGTTTGTGACGTCTGGCTTTACATTTTGATCTGATCACTTGCAAATATGGAAAAGGCACACTGATTGCAATTCATATCATCCTTCCTCTTTAAATGGGTGGGCTGCCCAGGCATTCTAATATCTGCTATGTATTTGGAGGCTTACTGGCCAGGTTGTTGCTGCAGTAAAACCAGCTTTTTAGCTCTGGAGATCCAGTGAGCTGCAGGGTTACCAGCCACAGCTTGTAGCTGGTGAACAACTGATTCATGTGACACAAAGCCAAACAAACTAACTTAAGTTGCGACTTCATGACTCCTCGTGGTGAACGACAGAGGGACAAGCACATGCTAACCAACTTGCAGTGAAGACAAAACTCAATAGGAAAAATGAGACAACAGCGGAGAGCAAATAAACAGAGTTCACATTATTAAAATGGAGCAATAATCATAATAATTATATTAATACTGGCAGACACTGATAACACTAATGTGGTAAAAATAGAATCCTTGCTCTCAGTTTAATTTTTTTTTTTTATTGTGTCAATTTTTCCATCTTCAGTTACACAGAGATCTCATTGTGTCACAGATTGCCTTGCGCTGCGTTGCAGAAGTGCTGTTCTGTGGTATCATCGTTAGCACGAGCAACGTAATGCTTTTGTGTATCGCGAGTGTCTCTGTGATTTCAAATGATAAAACCCAAACAGTCCGTCCTAAAAATTAATTTAAGAAACAAATCTGATTCGCCCGAATAAAGCTTCACACCACTGCAGCTGTAATTAATGGCAACGCATTCTGCACGCTGCTTGAATTTCCACACACAAAACTCCAGAATGAGCCCGGCTGTATCACACTTTGTTGCTTTTTCCAGCTGCTTGATTCAAACTCCATTGAACTATACAATCGTAAAGCCTGATTTAGACTTCTGCGGGGAATCTTTGTAGAGCCTTCGATGTCATCTACACAAGCTGCCCCATTCCAATGGTCTCAGCAGCCTCCCTCCAGAAATTTGCAGACATTTATGAGTGCTTATATTGACACTATGATTATTATTCTTTATACTAAGACAATGACTGTTACTTCTCTTACTGAAAAACTGCAGCAAAAAAGTTGCCAGAAATTTAAAAAGGCAATCCACAGCCTTGATCAGGCCAACAGTGGCTGTGGGCTGCGCTGATGTGCATCTTCTATAAGGAGGTACATGTCAGGTTATGCTGTAGGGTTTCAGATGGGTTTGCAGTTATGACTTAAGGCGTAGATTCTTTACTTAAGTGTAAATCATCAATAAGCCTCGTACAATAAGTTTAAGAGCATGTTGCTGATATTCCTGATAAAAATAACACAGCGTCTTCTCTTCATTTACAAAAGAAGCCTTCAGAGCATCATATCAAAGCACTGTAACCGACACGAGCATGAGCAGTAGCTACAGTCAGTCACATTAGTGATATTAATAAACAATAAGTTTGCACATACAAGTAAAAAGAAAAAAAAAAAACTTCAGTATAACACAGACGGCTGAAATGCACTTCATAAAAGCTGTCAGTTAACTTTGCACTGCACTTCTAATGTTTTGCACCCACTGTGGCTCTGACCTGCTCGCTCCCTTACATCACAGAAACTCTTCTCAAATGGCTCTGACTCTTAGCAGAGTCACGCACTTGATCTCTTTGCTCCTAAGATGAAAAAACTCTTTAAGCTGGCGCCAGATCTCACCTGAACAGTTTGCACTGTGTAGATCTTCTTCAAGTTGGACTCACATTCTGCTGCTGTGGTGCCGGGCAGTGACCTGCAGGAACACATGAAACGACTTAATGTCACACCAAAAACAATACAGTGCGTTTAACAGGGAAATAATGGTAATATTTAAAAAGCTGACACCAGATATGCTTGATGCAGCCGCTGTTATTATAAAGTACTGCTGAATAAGTTTCACTTGCTTGACTTTATAGACAGACGAAGACTGAGTAACATGTTACAGAGCTTTGTTAGAAAAAGAACATAAAAAAAGGATAAATGAAAACAAAAACAAAAACCGCTAAAATATACGTTGATAACATACAAACGTATATTTTAGCAGGTAACTATTGTATGTGTGTATTGTTTCTATAATCTGGGTGTTTTTCAGTCCTCATTTTTTATATAAAACTCCTGCCAGCAAATACATAAGCTAAAAGCGTTATTATTAAAATAAATAAATCAACAATAACCAGCAAAGTATCCATGATAAACATGGGATATTCCCATGACCTCATAAAAAAAAGAAGCCATGCGACGTTTAGGGCTGCATTTAATGACGGCTTAGGACGAAACTGCACCGAGCAAGGGTTCCTATGTAGCAAAGCCTTGCAATAAAAGACGCATATTAGCTGCACTTAGCCGTTTGTGAAAACAACGAGAGATGAGCCTGGGCTCTTTAAAGGCGTCGAGGTTTTAAAGAAAAGTGCAACAACTATCAGTTTCACCCCAAACCCTCCCTTCTGCGCTCCCCCCCTGCTGAGAGAAGCTAATCAAAGTAACTTCTGCTGCACGTCTGAATGGCTAAAACCTGTCAAGGCGAACTTGTCCTGCGGACTGTGAGTGACTGTCAGGACCCGGGAACACAACAAGGTCGCGTTAGATGCGAACACTTCTCCCGCTATATTTTGCTGCGGGAGGCCTCCGGGAAAGCTGTGGCCTTACAATGATACCCCTCTCCCCACCACCGCTCTTCATCTTTTTTCTCTTTTCTTTCTTTGTTTGTGCTCGTGCCGGGCTCAAAGCTCAAAGACAACGCGGAAGGAGACGCAGTAATATCACTACCTGTCCAGCCAAAACGTCCAAGGCGAGTGCAGAGGCAGCGTCGCCGTGTCTTCTTCTCGGTGTTTCTTTGTGATGTTTTCCAACTCTTTCTCGTCGATGTCTATGTTGTTTTCGGAGGAAACCGTCTGGCCGCTCAGAGCGCCGCGGTCCATCTGGACGTCCGTCTGACCCGCAGGAACCGCCATTTCACCAGGCTCGGAACTAAAGTCGTACGTTATCCCTGTATGAAAGGACTTGATAAAAAAAAACACCCGGTTCGCCTTTATCTGCACTTACAGAAACACACTACCGCTTTTCCGCCCACCGACTGCTGACGTCTCTGCGTCACTGGGCAGAAACGTCGCCGTTGGTCCACCCAGGAGATGAGGGGAAAAAAGGATGAGAGCTCACTCGGCATCATTTTCGGGTGGCCCAAATATCTAAATAGCAGTCACGAAAGTACAAGGGACATATTAATAATCTAATTTTTGTCTACAGGGGACATGGCTATGCTCAGTACATGTATTAAACCTACCTGTTATGATCATTTGAAGTGGGTTGATCAATCAAATACCGATAGTATGGATACCGACGCT